CCCCGATTCCTCTCCATGCGCTATAGCTCCCGGTGGTTCTAGAAGTCGTCCTCGTAATCGTCGTCCTCGTCCAACTTCATCTCAAGCTGAAGCGGTTCATCAACTATTGCGAAACCGACGACAGACACACATCAGACGTTTGGATGCATTTTGACAAGTTTTCGAGATAGAAAATAGAGTTCAAGTAAAGAAAGCAAGATGCAAATATTGTGGAAATATTTATAAAACTGATTCAAGTAATGGTACTAGTATTTTAAAAATGCATGCTAATAAACTATTGCTCAACATGGAAATAGAAAAACCAATCAAACTCAAAACTAATATGGTTACTACTTGGCGTTATAATTTTGATATATATAGGAAACAATAGCTTTATATATGCTATGGCTGAAGATAAATATTTGAAAGATTTATTAAAAATTCATTTTTTCCAGGATTTAAATTATCTAAAACTGCAACTAGAAATGATTTAATAAATTGTTTGGGAGAAAATGCAATTTAGAATTAAAAAATAAAATACATAGTTGTCATGTTAGTGTGGCTCTAACTGCCGATATTTGGAGTGGTAGAGCTAAACAAGATTATATTTGTGTGACTAGTCATTATTTTGATAACGAATGTAAATTAAATAAATCTTTATTAAGATTTAGATTAATGGATGTGGATCATAGTGGTCAACAAATTTATGATAAAATTGTTGAAGTTTTAGAAGATTATGATGTTATTAATAAAATGATAAGTTTAACTTTAGATAATGCAAATGCTAATACTACAGCTATAGATTTTTTTTATAAGTAATTATCCATTTTATAACAATTTGAAGTTTTTTTACCAACATTGTGCATATCACATTATTAATTTAATTGTAAAAAGTGGTATGAAAACAATTAAAGAAAATATTGATAGAATTAGGGATTGTTTAGCTTGGATTACTAGTAGTAATAAAAGAAATGCTGAATTTCAAAATGCTTATATAAAATCAAATATGTCTCTTAGAACTTTTGCATTAGAATGCCTGTTAGATGGAATAGTACTTATTTAATGCTTGATTCATGTTTACCTTATGCAAATTTAATTAATTATTTTGTAGCAAATAATTGAGGTCCTCATTATTTGGTAGAAAATGATTGGCATATAGCTAAAATATTTCATTCTTTTCTTAAAATTTTTTACCAATCCACTTTACAACTTTTGGGTGTGTATTATCCTACTAGTCAATTGGTAATACATACAATTATAAAAATTTCAGAGTTATTTAGAAAAAACAAAAACAATGAAATTTTAAAGGAACCAATAAAGGCAATGGAATTTTTTTTTTTTAAATATTGGAAACCCATTCCTTTTCTTTATTGTTTAGGTGTTATATTTGATCCTAGAATTAAAGTAGCAGGTTTAGAAAGTGGTTTAGACACATTAACTAAAAATTTACAAAACGAAGCATATGCCAATCAACTAGGAGAGCTAAGAGATTGTCTTGTAGAGGTATATTTCCAATATGAAAACAGGTATGGGAACCCGCAAAGATGCGAAATACCCAAGGCAGTTGCATCAGAAGAAACAAATGAAAACTTCTACTTCTGCAGTGCATTTAATAGGCCGAAGAGGACTCGAACCCGAAGTACAACCTCCTCTTCAGAAGCACCAACAACATCAATGAATATATTGTCCTCCATGCAGTCACAGAGTAATAAGCTTCAACAATATTTGGGAACCCCCAAAATGTTACCAACAGATCCACAACAAAGAGCCAACTTCGATGTCTTAGAATATTGGAAAACCAGAAAATGTATTTTTCCGATATTATCAAGACTTGCCTTAGATGTTTTCGCTATTCCTGTCTCAACTGTCTCATCCGAACAAACATTTAGTGCAAATAGAAGAATTTTAAATGAAAGGAGGACTAAATTTTCACAAAAAATGATTGAAGTCCTCACATGTCTTCGAGATTGGGAACGGTCGCGTCATCAAGATCAATACGAAGTTGTCGATGACAATTTAATAGAATTATTTCAATTTTGTAATATAGATGATACGGATGAGAGAGGTCCTAGTCAACCCCAAAATTAGTTGTTTTGTGAATTGTAACTTGATAAATGAATAAATCTAATTTTTCTTATATTACAATTTTATTGTATTAAAATTGAATAAATATTTGAAATGTTAACAAAAAAAAAAAAAAAAATTAATTTAATTGAATTATTGATATTTGAAAAGTTAACTAAAAACAATTACACAAAAATAAGAAAAATAAAAAAAAAAAAAAAAAAAAAAAAAAAGGGCTGACCCGGCCCGGCCTGTAGCATAACACGCTAGGTTAGGGTTGGCAGGCCGGACTGGGCCAGCCAATTCTAATAAGTGGCGGGCCGGGTTAGGCCCGACCTGCCGTGGGCTGGGCGGGTTGCTTTTCCAACATTAGTTTTAAACTTAACATAAATACCCTTATAAAAATACTTATAAGTCCCTAAAGGTTTAAAATATAGTAAATGCACCCCTGTGATATGGTCAAGGAATAACGAATCAGACTACGATTGCGGTGATGATCGACGGCCAATCGGAGTTCGGGATGATGGGGGTTTTGATGTGGAGATGAAGGTGATGCCTATGGTGGTGTTAGGTTGGGTGTTTGGCATCGGAACTGAGGAGGAATATACCAATTTTTGTGAAGGAGACAGTGGCAGCGATGACGATCGACAACCAATCATACTTCGAGATGATGGGGATTTTTATGTTAAGATGAAGGTGATGTCGATGGTGGTGTCAGGTGGGGTGTTTGGCGCTGAAATCAGGGTGATTTGAAATCCAGCAAAAACATCCCTAATTAGTTCCTACAAGTTTGAATGCCAGCAAAAACATGCCTAAAAATTATAATTAGTCCCTACATATTTAAAATCCATCAAAAACACCCCTACAATCTAAATCGGACTGGAGAGGGCGTCGATCACTGGTCCGACTGGTCCGATTTTCATAACACTGTAATGTACAACCTTATCTTCCTAATGTTGGGTGCACAACGTGGTGGTGTTAAATTCTTTTCTTGTACTCGAAAACCATTAACCACAACGATGGGAAAGCTACAACATAAAAGCTTTTATGTGAAACATAGCTTGACAAAATTTATGCACTAATGAAATTGAAGTGACCCAAAATGTATGTTCACTGTAGGGATGGCAACTAGGGGTGTTTAAAAAAATGTAAAAACTGAACCAAACCGAAAAACCGGTTAACCGGTTCAAAGAATTCAAAAAACTGGATTTTAGGTTCGATTTTCGGTTTTGGTGAAAATGCAAACTGATTAACCGAAACCGATTTTACTAACCAGTTTACTAATATATATATATATTGAATTAAAAAAAATAATCTTAATGGATATTATATATTAAAATAAAATAAAAATTAAATTATTTGTATCAATTTTTAATGTATTCTTAGTTGTGGTCAATGGATATGTATGAATGTTTAATTTTTATTTGGATATGTATTGTGTTTACAATTTAGTTAAGGAGAAATTAAAAAAAAAAATTAGTTTGATCCAATTTAAGGGGAAAACCAGTTTAAAACTGGTTAATCGGTTTTTTCAAAGTGGTTAACTGGTTTTTCGGTTAGTCGAAAAACCGGTTTTCCCCAAAACTGGTTTGGTTTCGGTCTAAGAATTTTTCTAAACCAAAGAACCGATTTGGTTCAAGAAAGCGGTTAACTGGTTTGGTTAATCGCTTTTAATCACCCCTAATGGCAACACAATCTACTAAGGATTAGGTTAAGTCTGGATAAATGCATTGGGTAAGTAATGAGTATGAGGTGGGTTTGAGTTACCCACATTCTTACCCATATAAATTTTTTAAACAATTGATAATTGACGAGGGAATTGGTTTGTCTTTTTAATCTTAAGTATGAATGTAACTATTTTTAGTATATTAAATTATTTTAGGTTTGTTTGTTTTTTTGACTTATATCTACGGATGGGTATTGACATGCCAATACACGTTTAGTAAATGGTTATTGCTAGCTCTAACTCTGTCTCCTCCAAATGAGAAAAGAGTTACATGGTTTTATATATCTTTTGTATTGGGTGAATACCCTCTCAACCAATCTAAGATTCAATACACAATAAAGAAATAATACAAGCAATTTTACGTGGTTCTGGTGTTAACAAATCTTACATCCATGTTGAGCTCCACTCTAAGCTGTCTGTGCACTTTAAAGAAGAGAATAAAATCACTCAAGATTTAGAGAAACCCCTATAAATCTTACCCTAAGAGTACTCCGCAAAGTTGAGAACAACTTTCCTCACATCACATGCGATAATGTAACCAAATATTAGATTGAATTATCAAACATTAATGTTCTTTTTGTAACACTAAAACTATATCATGGTTTAAATACTTTTTGAATATTTAAAAAGTTAATTGTTTGTATTTTTCAATTTATGTTGGGCTACCTAACAATTGAAATCCTGGCTCGGGCCCATTCCACTCATGGGCTTGGGGTGGCCATGGTGATAGTGAGCAACACCTTGACTTGAGGTAAGTGAGTGAGTATTTGCAATTCTTGAGGGTCTTCGTATAATAACTTAAACCTTAAGGGTTCTTAGAAAATTAAAACAAAATTACTTCCGTCCCCCTCAGGCCTCAGGGCTTAACTGAACAGTTATGAAGACTTTAAAAAATAAATTTAAACTCAAAATTTATTTGTGTGGGCTCTTTTCATAAAATTTCTGCCTTTCACGATCGAAGACCAATTCTCCCTCGCAAGCCTGAGTGAAGCTCTGAAGCTCCAGCACTTTGATGGTAACTTTCTCTCTTGCTTGCTCTCTCAATTTAAAATTTAATTTCTTTCTATTCAACCTTTCTTAAGTTTGGGATTTACTCAATTTTGACTGTTTTTCTGTGAATTCTTAAATTTAAGCTTGCTAATTAGCTTTGATATTTGTAATAATTTAACGTTTCAATGTGGTTCTTGGAATTCTTGTAGGTATCGTTTTGACTTCTGTTCATGTTGTTGTGATGGCTGCAACTAGGTTTTCAATGCTGAAGTCACTTAGTAGTTACATTAACCCCTCTGTGAAACAGACAGCAACTTCACTTCAGTCTTATAACCCATACTTGAAACTTACAAGATTTGCTAATCAAAGTCATGTCAAGCTATCTTACCCTCTTGTGAATAACAATTACCACAAAAGTCAGTTGCATTCCGCATTGAATTCTGAAAATATCCAACCTAGGATTCTTGGTTTTTCCTCTGATACTCGATGTTACAAAACCAACCGTGTCTCAGTATTTTCACCCACGTTAACAAAATTGTACTCTCATAGTTCTATTGCTTTTGGTTCGATTCCGGTTTTAAACCATCGATCATATTCATCATTTTTTGGGGGCAAAGGTGATAAATCGACTAGAGATATGGATGTTCCAGCTACTACTAGCGGTAGTGAAGTTGACGTTAATAATAGTGATATCGTCGAAGGTGATTCAATTGATAAAATTAAGGATGCGTGGCAGAGTATACTAGATGGAGTAAATTATACTGGAGAAAAGGTTAAAGTGGCATATGATGAACTGACTCCTTATTTTCAACAAATGCTTGATTTGCATCCGTATCTTAGGGATGTTGTTGTCCCAATTGGTGGGTACTTGATTGGTTCTATATTGGCTTGGGTGGTGATGCCTAGGATTTTGATGAGATTTCACAAATATGCCATACAAGGTCCTGCTGCTTTACTACATGGAGGCTTGTTTGGAGACCAAGTTCCTTATGAGAAAAGTTTTTGGGGTGCTTTGGAGGACCCCATACGATATCTTATCACTTTCATGGCATTTGTTCAAATGTTAGTAGTTTCAAATTCAGTATTTCCCTTTCTATAATGTTTTAATTGGCACTTTTATTGTTTTCCATGGTGTGATAAAACATGTTTTTTACATTCAGTGGCATGATGGTGGCTCCAACAACAATAGCATCACAATACCTTGCACAAGCATGGAGAGGAGCTGTTATCCTTTCGTTTGTGTGGTTTTTGCATCGGTGGAAAACAAACGTCTTCACCCGTGCTTTAACTTTTCAAAGTTTGGCGGGGATTGACCGGGAAAAGATGTTAACTCTTGACAAACTTTCATCAGTTGGTTTGTTTGTTATTGGAGTAATGGCTTTAGCAGAGGCATGTGGAGTGGCTGTGCAATCTATCTTGACTGTTGGTGGCATAGGAGGTGAGCGTTTGTTGGTGGCATATTCTCCTTCTCTTTTTTCTTTTGGTTCATTAATCCTAATGAGAAGGATCTTCCAATAATCAAAATTTTAAAACAAACCAAACTTTCTTATTTTACTATCCTTCGGTTTTAGGCTGAAATTATAGGAGCTCGAATATTTTACTGAAATTTGTAGCACTGATTATTAGTCATGAATATCTTGCGATCTAATGGACTTGAAAGGAAAGTTGAAATTGGTTAGTTTTTGTCATTTTAACAACTTCTAACATTGAATTGCAATGAATTGATGGTTATAAATTAATGCCAGAACTTTTGACTCAAATATTAGTTACTATAGCATAACTCTTCATTTCATTCTCTGTTGCTTTTTATAAATTACAGCTTGCTATACGTACATTGTTTTATTCCCAAATTGCATATCTCCTAACTAGTCTGATGAGAGCCTCTGTCAATTTAAAACAAACCCAGCCACAAAACAGTCCAAAACGCAGAAATGGCAGTCCAATTCTAGAATTAAAACCGTATTGTATTGATTGAACAGAAATGAGATTTTAACAGAACAAAATGGAAACAGCAACAAACCAAAAGAACAGATAATTCCCAGCAGTTCGAGGAGTTGGGGACCTCCCTTAATGACCCTTTGAAAAATATCCTCCCCTTCCCTAAACTCCCCTCCCTTTATATACTAATTCCTTAACTAAAAATATTCCTCCCACTAACAACTTGATTCCCCATCACGTGAATATTTACCAACCAACTCCCACTAGCACACATGCCCACTCACAACCAGCATCCTACTGCCCTTATACCTTTTATGCCCTTTATATTGATAGATTTTACTAATGGGAGGTCTCATCATTACCCTCCCCTTGAAGAACCACCTTGTCCTCAAGGTGGGGAGATGGAAGATTTTCACCCGACACCACATCGCTCCTCAACTCCTTTATCGCCCTCTTTTTCCTTATCTTCTGTCATTCGCTGGAATGAAGCTGTTCGCCGTGGATAGAAGTTGTGATCGACCGGTGGATTTGGTGTGGTACTCAGGCTTTGATAACTAGAGGCTGTCGCGACACCAAATGGTGCCTCTTCCCAAGTTTGACGCGCTGGCGAGGAATTGCCAGAATATCTCGGCTGATTGATGAAGGGAAATAGCCTGGGGTTATTTGCAGTCTGATTTAAATTTGATTGGACCCTTGACCCGTTTACTATTGACCCAGTTTCTCTACCCGACCCAAACCTAGCTGCATTTAAACCTTTGCCTAGTCCATTATCAAATTGCTCAAGCCCACATTCAATTGTATTTGTTACTCCCTGTTTACCCAGCCCAACTGAAATATTTCCTCTATTAAACCCATACAGCCCAACTGGTTTTACAGTGTTATTGAGCCCAAACTTCATTTTTTCTAAAGCCCAATTGTTCTCCTCTATTGTCTGGGCTAACTCCATTAATTGAATTAATGAATATGGCTGGCCCAATTTGACTTCAGCTTTTATGTCTGGTCTAAGGCCGCTTAAGAAGGAAACCCACAATATGTCTTCTTTCTCTTCACGCCATGGAGTAGATAGAGCTTCAAACTTTCGGCGATATTCTTCTACTGTACCAGTCTGTTAGATTCCGATCAGCGCATCATACGATCCTTCTTCCTGTGAGCCACTGAACCGATGAAGCAAGGTAAGTTTAAAGGTGTCCCATGTTGTCACCGAAGCTCGCACCTCCATCCCCTGGAACCAATTGATTGCGTCACCCTCCATGCAAACGGCCACCGTGACCAACCTCTCATTCTCGGCGATTCTGTACATATTGAAATAACGCTCAATCCTAAACAGCCACCCATAAGGATCTTCCCCCATGAAGAGCGGCATCTCCAATTTTCTGCTACCAATTTCTTGCCGCGGTCTTTTAGTGTTCATCGTTTCTCCGTTAACATCTTCCTGGTTTGGTCCTCGATTTCCTGGGATTTCTGTCGACCCATTATCCTTACCCCTTCTTGCTTCTTCTTCATCTTTACTCCTCATCCAGGCTAGCATTTCCCTTAAGCACTCTTTGATGGTTCCCAAATCTTCCTTCATCGATCTAATCTCTTTCTCCATTTTCGTTTTTACCATTCCTTAACCTTGGCTCTGATACCATTGATGAGAACCTCTGTCAATTTAAAACAAACCCAGCCACAAAATAGTCCAAAACGCAGAAATGGCAGTCCAATTCTAGAATTAAAACCGTATTGTATTGATTGAATAGAAATGAGATTTTAACAGAACAAAATGAAAACAATAACAAACCAAAAGAACATATAATTCCCAGCAGTTCGAGGAGCTGGGGACCTCCCTTAATGACCCTTTGAAAAATATCCTCCCCTTCCCTAAACTCCCCTCCCTTTATATACTAATTCCTTAACTAAAAATATTCCTCCCATTAACAACTTGATTCCCCATCACTTGAATATTTTCCAACCAACTCCCACTAGCACACATGCCCACTCACACAACCAGCATCCTACTGCCCTTATGCCTTTTATGCCCTTTATATTGATAGATTTTACTAATGGGAGGTCTCATCATAGTCCACCATGCATTAAGGGCTCACTCCTTTTATCTCTAGAGTGGGTAGAATAAGCATGTCTGAGCAATTCATTTTAAAGTATAGGACTCTGTATCAATTTTAAAAGTCGTCCAATCTTTGTTAACAATGTTCATTTATGTGTCTTCTTTTCTTCCTTTTTTTTTTTTTTTCCTTTTTCGTTTTCCTTGTTCTCTTTAAATGAAAGGGCTAATCTTCTGCTATGTCTTTAGAACTCTATTAATGAACTATCTTAATCTGTATCAATCTGTCCTACACCTTAACAATTCATTATTATTAATATTTTTAGGACCTGCTGCTCTTTCACCTTTAACATCGTGAACTTTTGTAGTTATATTAAGACTCTTAAGCAATCACTTAACACAAAAGCTTAAGGTATCAGTGGGACATTGCATTAAAATTTAAATCTAATAGGCCTCTTACTTGTAACTTGCACCAAGTAGATGGGTTGAGCTCGAATACTAGATGGGTTAAACCAACACTAGATAAAATATATTAACTAATTACAATGCAAAAATATTACATGTGAGGACTTGAACTCATGATCTTTGGTTTCTAATATTACGTTAAGCAGCCATTTGGCTGAAAAGCGTAAGTTATCATGTAAGAGCCCAACATTCAAATTTAAGTCTACCAATGATTTGTTATAGTCTACTTGATAAACCATAACTAATTTAAAATAGTGCTCATAGAGAATTACCCACCTAGTCAATTCTTTGGTCTCATAACTTTTCAGTTCTCCCCTATTTTCATGTCTATAGTTTCTACATCAAGGAAATGTTGTGTCTGTGGTATGTTCTGTTATCAATCTTAACCAAAACTGAAATCTCCATTGATGTGTTGTTTACTGCTTATAAGATGCTTGTGTGTGATATATCTTTATGCATCTGAGGGCAATATCTGAGATTCTTAATGTGCTTTTGACACTTTCTATTTATTTGTATTGTTTTACAAAATTGTGAAGGATTGATTTAATAGACTGTCCCTACTTTTATATGGATATAAATGGAAGATGTTAAATTTCGTTGTAGGTATATATTAAGATTGACTCTTCTATCGCTATATTTTTCTGTAGGAGTGGCTACTGCTTTTGCTTCTAGAGACATCCTTGGAAATGTGCTCAGTGGGTTGTCTATGCAATTCTCAAAGCCTTTTTCACTGGGAGATACTATAAAAGTAAGTAAAACTTTGCCACATCATTGATGGTGATTCTAATTAATTCCTTTTAACCAAAAATGAAAAAAAAAAAAAAAAAAAAAAATCCTTTTAGATTTGTTAAGTTTTCATCTAATAGTGCTGATAATGGATGGAAAGAAGTACTTTTATTTATCTGATGTAATGTCTCTGCTTAAGATTATAGTTGATCCTAGTATGTTGGGAGTTGAACTGTTACAAATTGTGTGTAAATGAATTTTTTATTTATTAATTTTATGCTTATTCTGAATGGAAGAAAACTGAGGTCTTATTTGCTAACATTTTTGGCAAGGTTTGTTTTATCTTTTTATTTATTTATTTTATTGCAGGCTGGATCTATAGAAGGCCAAGTGACGGAAATGGGACTTACTACTACAACGTTACTAAATGCTGAAAAGTTTCCTGTATTAGTGCCAAATTCAATGTTTTCCAGTCAGGTGTGACCTCATCCCAAAACTATTGAAATAATCATTTTGAATTTGAAGTATATTCTAATGATCAATCTCAGAAAGTCCTTTAGAAGTTTTTTTAATCATATTAACACACAAAATCATCCTTGTCATCTTTGTAGGTAATTGTGAATAAGTCACGTGCTCAATGGCGTGCTGTGGCTATCAAAATTCCTTTGCATATTGATGATTTGGACAAGATTCCTCAGATATCAAATGACATTAAAAGCATTCTGAGATCGAACGCCAAAGTTTTCTTGGACAAGGAGGCTCCTTATTGTTTCTTGTCTCAGATAGAAAGTTCTTTTGCTGAATTGAGCCTTGGATGCAATCTCAAAAGCATGGTAAGACTTTGCTTACTGATTGCTTCAACTTGTACTTTAGCATTTTTTTTTAGTTTTTATTTTTATCATTTTCTAATGTCTTTCAAACTTATCTTATTTCCAGAACAAAGATGAGTTATACACCACAGAACAAGATATACGTCTGCAGTCAGTCAAGATTATCAAGGAACATGGTGCTTCATTGGGCAGCACTTACAGGTTATGATCAGTAGATGATACAGCATACTGTTAGCCTAGTCCTTCTATAGAAATTTGGTCTCAGTTGGTAGAGAAGGTTTTGGAAACAATGTGGCGAACTTCCATAGACAAGTCATGGTATCAAAATAAAGGATAACAGCTGAGAGCTACTGTAAGGATAGCTGCAGCAGTTTTGAAGACTGGAAGCTTTCCCAAGAACATCATTTTGACTAATTTTGTCGCTTATCCCAAATATGGAGGAAAACAGAAATGATCAACCGTCAAATACATGTTAACAATGAGGAAGATCATATTTTTAGCTGAGCAACGGGTAATTTGCTTCTGGAGTATTGACTGCTAAAACCAAATCTTTTCAAAAATACAAAAAAAAGTTAAAGGATCTTTCTTAATCCTCAATCAATGTTAATTTCCAGGAGTTGGTGTTGTGATTTTTGTGAACTCAGTAAAGTTTGTATATAATTGTTTTTCCTCGGTTTTTTTATTCTTTTTGGCCAACCAATACACAAATATCATCCTTTTATATCTTCATCGTAACTTAGTTTCATATAAAAAGAATAAAGGTATATTAACAAACACTTTTTGCAATTTTCTTTCATAAACGTTGATGTTGTAGTTCGTAATTAGTTAATTCGTATTTGGTTAGACGAGATTTATTGTTGGACAGATGTGATTCATTGCAAGTTGACAAATTATGAGTTAACACGTTATGTTTGTGAAAAAAGTTAGTTAAAAAGATTTATGAGTATAGTCTTTGAGAAAAAAAAAGTTAGTGAAAAGGTTTATGACAATAGTATTACTAGTATAAAAATTTACAAGATATTGTTGCAGAGGCAACCATGGCTTTATTATATAATACCTTGAAATTTGGACATATTACATTCCGCATCAAATAAAATATAATTTGTTGGACGTGAAGTTATGAAGCACATATATTGTATTGCTAGGCGCAGACCTAGCCTAAAACTAGAAAATACAAGAAATAAATATTTAGGGCCTGTTTTTGTAGATTATTTGAAAAATATTATTATGAAAAAGTGTTTTAAGTTGAGATTGGGTTGGATTAGATCGAATAAGATTAGATTCTGAAAAAGCGTTTAGTAAAATATTTGAAGATTATATCAAAGTTGAATAAAATGCTGAAATAGTTGTTTGATACAATTTTTTTAAAAGGTTTTCAAAACAGAATAGTTGTTTGGTATATTTTCCGAAAATATTTATTATTATTGTTTAACCTCCTACATTTGTTAATTTAGTTAAACACCCCCACAATAAAAGTTTAAAAATTAACAAAAGCACCATAGCCACCCAAGAGGACAATCGGCTGCCAACCACCACTATCGGATGACACCAACAGTTGTTAGAACGACACACAACTAACTAGATCTGGCTGATCGTGCGTTTATATGGCTATTTCTGGCCAGATCTACAACCAAAATATGGTTGTAAATGATGGCTAGATAGCTCTAGCCTTTGTTAACAACCAGATAGCCAGATAGATCTGGCCGTTAAGGTTAGATCCCGGCCAGAATCTGACAGTCAACGACTAGATCTCTAACAGTAGATCTGGCTGTTTTCGACTAGATCTATGGTGGATCTCTGGATTTGACTAGAAACAGCCAGATCGACGCCTGACCGGCCGTCGCTAGCGACGGTGGTTTTGGGTGGATTAATTTTTAGATTGGAAGGAGAGAAAGAAAAAAAAAAATGTTTTCAACTAAATAAAGTTAGATAGAAAAATGTTTTAAGTTGAGTAAAGTTGAATAAACTGAAAACAAGTCCCCCCTCTTTTCATTTTTAGACAAAAAAAATGTTATTTAATTTGGATTAATTTTCAAAATGATCCCAATAAGTAAACAAATACATATCTTCGAAATAAGATAACATAATAATGATCCAAAATAGTATAATAGACAGGGGCTTGAGTTTCAATGTGAAGATTGGTTTATGAGCCGGAATTTGAATGAGAAATGTATTTAACCTCAAATTCCAGCATGAGTTTAACATTGTCGGTTAGCATGAGCTTGAAACTTCATCCTCATTTCTTTACACGTCCTATATTCCCTTTGTTCATTCACTTAACCACTAAACTAAAACCTTGGGGCATCTGATTTTATGCCACAGTAAGCTCTATTGGATTATAGCATCATTTATTTATTTTTTATTTTATTTTTTTGATTAGGGATGTCTGAGCTAGCTTATATGCATCTCGATTAATCCCCCAACCCCGAACAAGGCTTCTAAAACAGGACAAGCCTTACGGTCCATAGGCAACAATATTAACAACCGTTCTTGTGATTCGAACCTGAAACCATAGGGAGAGTAAACCCCTTGACCCCAAGCCGTTACCCCTTGGCCAACCCATTATCGGTTATTATAGCATCATGTTCTTGAGGCCAAAACACAGTTACAGCTATACAAACACACCAGATCACGTTCAATAAATTCAATGAAGCATATAGGCACTTATGTATCCAACCACTCATGAAGAAAACGCAAGCCAATTAAAAGAGAGAAATTTGACCATGAACTGAAACGACAGAGCTGAATTCTATTGAACTGGATTATGATGTCTAGAAACACAAGATGAGATAAAAGAACTTTAAAGAAAAAAAAAAAAAAATTACACAAACAGAATCTGGATACTGGACCTAGACTATAAATGAGATCCAAGCATTTACAGAATACAATGATCACCCGAAAATATGATGGCAACTCAACAACATCCCAAGATAATATATCACTTGGAATACCAAGTGCAACAACAGCTAGAGCATCTACATGTTTTTTGAACCTTGCAGCTGTATAGATATTATACTATATTTCCACATACACCTTAAAAGATTTGAACCACGAAAACAGTCTCCAAGATGAACTAACATCATTCACCTTAAAGGACATTAAAGCATATCCCGACAGAAATCCAACACCAGCCAACTGCAATTCAGGATCTGCAGGAAGGTAGAGTGATGCCTCCACAACACACGGCAATTATTATGTACAGCAACACGACGATCAAGAATGTCAATAGGGCCCTGTCACATACAGGTATAAGTTTCCACACATGAAATGCAGATTGCTATAGCTGATAACCAAAATCTACAGTGGTTCATACTTTAATACTTTGTTGACAGTACAATTGTGATAGGAGCTTCACCTAATTCATTTAAAATACAATGAAAAAATCCGGAATTTTAAAAAAAAAAAAAACTCTTCCACATTTTCCTCATTTCTGTTTCATTTCATTTACTAAGAAGTTTCATAAAAGACATTATTTCACAACACTCGCATGTTACCAAATAATCACTGCTTTGTTAAACCAAACTGACATTTCCATCCAATGCAAAGAGTTCATGTATGAGATGATATAGAGCAAGTAGAAATTCAACAAGTTTTTCACATAACGATATGTAATCTTTCACAATCTCACCCAAAACCCTAATGTTAAATCAGCAAATCAACCTCCTCTCTTAAAAATAAAGATGCAACCCTGCAATTTTTTTTTTTCTAAAGTTTTGGTTCACATGATCACCACGCTCAAATGCACCAATTGTCAATTTTAAGTAACTTCTGGATGTAGCAACAGTGCAGTGGCTAGAAAGGGGCTGTTGGTGGTAGAGGAGGCTTGAGCTCGCAGGGGAAGATGAGTCAACAACTTTGAATGCACTAGTTATGTCCCAAACATAAACCTCAAATTATTATTGAAGAAGAGGAGTTAAGAATTTTCTTCTTACCCTCCATAGCCTCCTTTAATAAGCCCCTTCTTTCTTTGTACCAGTGTTTGATAGCTCAGATTTGAAGCACATTGTGTCATCAGCATTTTACCATTCCATCAGTATAGTTATTATAAGAATATTCAATAAGTTTTTTGAATAAATGTCAATCACAAATGCATAGATTTCAACTAATTTGTGTGTGACATATGACATATCACCCAAATGTTAACAATCAAGTACTGGGCCTTCAGTATCAAATGAATATGTAAAATGCTTGTAAACTACCGATAAAAACATATTCATTAACCCCCCCAACACCACCAAAAAAAAAAAAAAAATTAAATAAGGGTTAGGAAATTCAATTGTAGATTGATTGTTCTGATTCATGGATTTTTAAAGAAGGCAAAAACTGATTGGTTCGCTTTTAAATTGATGACAAATTTTAAACTTGGTTTAATAACTTTCTGAAAAATAGAAGGGATTAAGAACAGGACTTACAAGAGTTTAGCATTTTTCATCCAAAGCGCTTGGTGAAGGCGCTTAGACTGTTTCCTGAAGTGAAATGCACCATCTTGCATCGTTGAAGTTTTGTCAACAAGAAGCTCAATCCTGTCACCTCTCTCCAATATCTTCTCAATATTCTCCACCATGATTGTGCGTATCTGAAATATGCAATGCATGTGAGCATAATCAAACAGATAACACTGGGTTGTAATGAAAAAATTTTAAATTAGTCAAAGCATAATCTCTCTATATGTTTGAGAAGCTAATACCTTAGCCAAAAACAAAAAGGGTAAAATATGCCATCTAAACTACATGCATCAATACAGGATACAACACACAATAATGAAATATGAAGCAAAAAGATAAGTAGAAGATGTTAATTCCAGCAGAACAAAAGATATTTACCTCACCAACTTCACCTCTAACACGATTGAGAGTATCTGCACTAGGATTACTGGAGAAGAATTCCATCTGCTGATGCAAGACCCTTGAAAATTCATCATTCATCGCATAAGCAAGTGCATAGTGGGCCACTCTGCCATAATTTTTCATGAACCTCATATGAATATCCTCCAAGTATGAAAACGGAATTCTTCCTGGATCAAGAAAAAATTGATGCATTTTTACTTACCAAGACAATTAGTTTGTATATGTTTGTGCATATGTATATAACTATATATGTATAATAAATGGATTCATGCACAAGATCAAGACTGCAGAAAAACTCGCACATAAATATTAGTTTGTATTAACCACTATGAATTGAGAGATAAAATATGGTCACCAACTTCGGAGCTTGCTCATAGAGCAGAAAACAGTAAAACTGCATGCGAAGACAAACTAAAGTGAGGCAAAGAACTCTTCACCAAAAGTAAAATTGATAAAAAAAAAGAAGTTGGGAACTAAAGAAAAGTGGAAGACAGTCAAGTAATATTAAACTTAAGCCAAAAAAAGAAAAAAAAGAAGTTGGGAACTAAAGAAAAGTGGAAGGCACTCAAGTAAATATTAAACTCAAGCCTAGAAACCTGCAATAAAAAAGGTGGTTTTAACTAAGAGTTTCCCGACTATGCCTTCCACATGTGCATATCTACAGCAAAGCAGTTATACACCAAGACCATCAACTCAACTATATGCAGTAAAAAGTCATAATAATATGTTTGATAACTAGAACAAACAATTTCTTTTTCATAAAGAAAACTCTCCAATCTATTCTCATTTCAGCTGCACCTCAAAAAAGCTAAGGAATTCAAAGCCCTGTGCCTCTGCCTTCCAATACCAAAGTCACTTTGCACAATCATTTAGTATTATGGATGGCTTTAAGACCTAGTAAAGCTTAGACTCCAAAGGTTTCCATTAGAGGAACACATTTCAAGGATAAGATAACCACCCAGACATACAAATATTTTCTAAAATACATTGATTTCAACCTATTTTCAGTTCACAACAGTAATCTTCAATATGAAAGAATTTCTTTTTCTGTCAAAAAATTCTCAACCCTATAGGTTTAAGGTTGTTGCCAGCCAAAAAGAAAAAAAACTCAATCTTCAGTTTTCATTTCCACACTAATCCCAGTTTCATAACAGTTATTTAGCAAATTGAAAGGAGGATAAACAACTAGATCTCTGGTTCCTATTGATTCACTGATCATAGTTTCGCAACAAAAAACATTTTGAATCATTTTTATGCTGTGTCTCATCGAAACTCAAATTAGCAACAAGAAGTTCTCCAATCCTATAGATACAAATAAATGGAAAGAAAGAAACAAAGTGGAAAGAGAAGTAGAAAAATAACCTTCAAAAAAAAAAAAAATATCTACTTAAGAGCACTTCTAATTCGCGATCAACCAAATAAGTTCCAAAAAAAAAAAAAAAAATCAAACTCAGCTGAATATGGAGTGTCACTTGATAAATCAACATCATCAACTCATAATTTTCATTCAATTTCTCAGTTGAACTACAGAATCCAAAGCCTAATTCAGCTAACAAAAGACAAAGATTTTGAAAAACTACGCACGCAATGGAACAAGAAAGAAGTAAAAATAAAAGCCTACATACTTCCGAACGTATCGTTGGCCATACACAAAAACGTGAGTCCATCCGATCTGAGTATATGAAATGTATACCGATCCTGAGAGAAACAGAGCCTGGCGTCGGCCTCCGCTGGCAGCTTCTCCAGAATTCGTCTGGCCACCGCCCCGGTGTTTCCGCTGACGGCGCTGAATTCCGCCAGCACCACCGTGCCCCGTGCCACCACCGCGTACAGTATCGCCATCTCTAAATATTATAATAATAAATTATTAATATTAATATTAATAATAATAGAGATGTGGTGGGGCTTTTATAAAATTAGGAGTGTTGTGTTGATTTGGTTTGGAGAATGTTATTTAAACGTTTGTTTAAAAGAGAGGGAATGGAACGGGCCAGTTTTTGTCCCTCTCACCGGTAAGTCCACGGCCGTTTTGGTTGTGTGGGGTTTGGTACGATGACCAGGGAGGATATAGAGAACCCGTGCTTCCTCACTTGTTTTCAATTTTCGGTTTTTATTATTTAATTTAATTTTTTTTGGAAGTAGTTGAAATTTTAAATGTATGGATTAGGTATCTTTTTTAAGGAATGAAAATATATTTAGTTTACACGTTATCAATTGATTTATAATTTAAATACAAATTTTTAATATTTTATTTGAATATTGAAATCAATATTAATATATGGTAGAACTTATCTATAGTTATAATATTGTGATCAATCAAATTTATTATTATAAGGAGGTTATAATTTAATAAAGGTGTAATTACAAGAATTATTATTTTGATTTCTTATTTTATAATTCATGTTTTAGTAGTATTAGGATTTCAATTCATTGTTTTAATAATATTATGATAGCACGGAAATGGATATCAAAGAGTCATTATATAATTGAGTGATCAGATTCGACAACTTCATTACACTGATCAAATGGATATTAATATCTTCTTCAATAATCTAAATGAGCAACTAGTCGTGTATGTTTTAACTGAAAAAAAAATCATTATTGGAATTAGACAAGAAGAGGAAAGTGATACTCTTGAGGATGATAGTATGAAAATACAAAAAATTTCATGCCAATAAGCTCTAAACATGCTTGAGCGCTAGAAATATTTTGGCTTCAACAAGAAGGTGTCCATGTAGATGACTTATTATGTACCCGTAAGATAAAAGATGTAGTAATAATTCTAAAGCATAAATCATTATCCCAAACAACTTTAGATAAATATTTTATTTCATCTTAAACCTTTAACGTAGCATAACATATATTTTTTGTAATATATATATAATTATTACTATGTAAAAGCAAGTTCCTTAAGACGGGACCTAAAAAATTATAACTTATTACAATGTAAAATTTATTCTTATTTATAACTGATCCAAGTTAGGACCGAAAGTTTTTATAACTACATGAATATTATTCCTATATAGAATATCACTGTAGAGAGGCTCTACTCTATATATATATATATATATATATATATATATATATATAATATATAATATATAATATATATATATATATAATCAATGATTGTTTATGTGAATTTAAAGGATTTGTAAATATGAAGGGTTTTATAAGTTTTATTTGTTACATTGTATTAATAGCACATAATATCCAAAAATCTAATTAAAACTTCATTAATTTCCATAAAGATAGACCATTCAGATTTACATTCACATAAATAGTTTTTTTGGACCCTTGCTTCTCCACATCTTAACACAGGGGTGTTTGTCTGAGCTTATGAAAATTAGCTTATAAGCAATAAGTACTTATAAGCTAATTTTAGTTTATAGCATTTAAAATTTTAAGCAATTACATGTTTGGTTAACGTACTATAAGTGACTGATAAATAGTTGACGTGTTTGGTAAATGTGGCTTTAAGTACATTTTATTATAAAATGACTAAAAAGAGTACTACATTAAATAAGGGTATATTATAGAATTTTAAAATTAAACAAGGTAATGTGGTAATAATTTGGTTAAATTAGCTTATAAGCAAAAAAAAAAAAAAAAAAAAGGTACCTCCCTCAAATTTTTTTTTTTTTTTTTTTTTATAACTCACTTATAAGCTCAAAAAAGTTATAAACAAACATGTCAGCTTAATTTTAGAGTTATAAGCTAGTTTGTAAGCTTAGACAAACACCCCATAAACGAGAGAGAGAGACTGAACAAAATAGAAAAAAAAAAAGCCGCTCTGATCTCCGATGAAGATGATGACGACGAAGAGCAATCAGATCAATCTCTTACACTCAGGGGGTGTTTGTCTAAGCTTATAAGCTGGTCAAACTAGCTTATAAGCTCTAAAATTAAGCTGACCTGTTTGTTTATAACTTTTTTTTAACTTTTTTTTTTTGTTATAAACACTCTGCTTATAAGCTAGTTTGACCAAGTATATTACCACATTATTTTTGTTTAATTTTAAAATTTCATAGTATACCTCGTTTAATATAGTATCATTTTTAGTCATTTTATAATAAAATATACTTATAAGCTACATTTTACCAAACATATCAATTATTTATCAATCACTTGTAAATAAGTTAACCAAATATGTAATTGCTTAAAATTTCAAACACTTATAAATTAGTTTATAAGTGTTGTTTATAAGCTATCTCAGACAAACACTCCCTCGGTCTCACAATTACAACACTTGCTAGAAACGCAGAAGACGGCACAAGCATGGTTCATCAGGGGTCTGAGCATCGCCAACTCAAACGCCTAGGAATAATTGAAGAGAGTTATCTCTAGTCACCAACATTGGCATAAAAAAAGTAAGAATGGATAAATAACAAATAAATTGACGGCTATGTGGATCCTCAGACATATATGAAATCAGAAAAATCAAAGTTCATAGAACATGAATGGAGGTCAAAGAAATTTCAGATCAGACTCAAGGAACAAGAAAGGTAACAAATCGGAGCTTTTAATCCAATATAAATATTTTGTTTTTCTACCCCTCATAAGTTTATGTTTTCTTTTTTCTTTAACTATGGCATCTGCAGCCACGAAGGAGAAGAAAGTTAAGTTTGATAATTCTTCAAACCCCGTTGGTTCTGCAGTTAAGTTTGAAAGCAAGCAGCTACTGACGAAATCGGAAACATCTACACCAAAATCGGAGAAAACATCTCAACTAAATGTGGCTGGAGAATATATATCAATCGAGGGTTTTCTGGTTCTCTTCCCACTTGTATATTCCTTATCCTTCGATTTATTAAATATAATAAATAACATGGGCTGGACTTCGGTTTTATGGGAGATTTTTAACAAACCCACCCTGGGTGATGTTTCAAGAGAGTTGATAATGTTTATCGCACCTTTGTGGATTTGTTGTGATTGTTGGGATATTGGTTGGCTAGGCGTGGAAGCCCAAATAGATCAATTTGGGTTGTAGAGATTTGGTGGATGCTTCACTTTCCAAGGTTTCGAATTCATCTTCTATTGGCTTGGCTTCTATTCCCAGCCTCAACTTTTTGAAGTTTCAGTTCCCAACTTGCATATCCTGGGTTTGTGATGATGGTCTTCAAACGAACGCTTTCAACAACCAATCTACCATCAGTTCTGATTACAGGTTCTGGTAATTGAATAATCAATACCTATTTTTTTCCCTTTTTATTGGGTAGAAATCTTTGGTTAAGGACGAAGAAAAGTCAAAGAGGTTTGTGAAGAACGAAACAACAGTAAGGAAGTAGAAGAGATGAAGATTGAGCCTATTGAAGAGAAGAGCAAACTGAAATTTGATTTTGAAAAGCCAAATCACGATGATGGAACAGATAATGCATATAAACCACCTAAACCTGGAGTTCCTAAAGTGGAAAAAACTGGTACTTTGACTATTTGGTCTTGCCTATTGTTATGCCTGAAAAAGTAGGGCTGACATAGAGCCCGATCAGCATAAATGATCAGAGTTTAGGTAGATCCTACAGCCGTTCAGACGCAGTCACGTTGCATGCTGGCGTGAGCAGCATGCTCTTGCCAGTGTAGTGGGTGCGCGCCAGACTGACGAAAGGCTGGAGGCCGTCCACATGTCCAACCCCTGTATTAAACGAGGAAATCACTCGAGTGGGTGAGCAACGAGACGTAACGGAGGATTTGCACGGTATCTGCTCCCTTTTTACGGATTCTGTAATCATTACCCCATTCACCCCACTATAAATAGAGAGCTCCTCTCTCGTTTGGGAGATTGGCTCATTTTTACTCTGTAATAGCTAATTTCTCTCTATAATAGCTTATTCTCTCTTTTGTAATCACTTGCAAGTCAGCTTGCTGAACGCGACCTGATCCTATATATTAATACAATATCAGTGGACATAGGAGTCGCTTGCTTAAGCATCCAAACCACTTTAAAACATTGTTTATCCACCTATTACTCATTTCACTACCCCCATCCGCGTGTGTCTTCTAAGCCAGCTCAGCATTTCACACGTGCATTTAGTTGGTGTCAAAATCACGCATCAACAGTTTGGCGCTAGAAGGAGGGCTTGATTTAGTATTTGTCCTTCATCAAGAGAATCTCTGACTAATTGGTCCTATACTAGCAAATGGCTCGCCGATTCGAATCTGAGCGAACCAATCATGGTGATGAGGAGATCCCCCAAGTACAAGAGGACACTTCTCCCAAGGTGCCCTCAGTTCCACAAAATGTCGTGGGGGATATCCTTTCAAGCTCACAACTTGACTCAGCCGTCATGAGCTACCTGTAGAGGTTCAACAATACTATCCAAACGGTCAGCCAAAGGCTGGATCGTTTGGACCAGGGCGTGCCACCCGAATCAAATAGGGCGGTGCAACCGCCAAAAATGCCTGTAGGTCGCGTGAAAGTGCTGAAAAGGGCGATAGCCTATGCCGCGCATACTGCAGCGCGTCAAAGGAAGGGTAAGCAAGTGGTGAACAGTGGACTTAGAGGCTCTGAGGGTCCGGAAAACACCGACTACGCCCAGGAAAGAATACCCATGGCGTTAAGGCTCGATGACATGTCGTGACTTGAGCCGTCCCGTGCCATGTCGCGTGAGCACTCCCACAAAAGTGCAAGGCAGGGCGATTCCCATCGCCTCCGAAATGACGACTCCAATCGTCGTGTAGGTAGTTACCACATTCCGCGGGTCGGTTTGCACCACCGCGGAGGTCGTGAAAATTCCCCGAATCATTCAACGCCATCACACGGCTCTCGCCAGCGTGTGTCAAGATTGGTCGGAACTGCTGACAGAGGTGAGGAGGAATCCGACCTACGGTCATTCCTCAACAGTAACCGTGAGGGTCGAACCCACGTTGTGAAAAGCTATCCACGAGTAGCGCTGCTACCTCAGATCGAAGAGCTGCAGCAAGCTCTGGATCAGCTAAAGGTTCAACAAAATGAGCGAGGGCAGGTCGCGGAGGCGTCCCCATTTTCTCCGGCGGTATTAGTCGCCCCTCTCCCATCAAGATTTAGAATGCCTGATATGCAGGCGTTTGATGGAAATTCTG